ATATATATATATATGATTGAAAGGTATTAGGAGGGAAGGTTTCTTAAGGAAGTACATGAGAAAATGACCATCAATAATTAATAGTTTTTCAGGCAGGGAAAGTAATCAAAGCATTCAGGTCATTGAACTGGATCCATATTTTGGAAAATTTTATTAGTGTGGGTGCAGTGAGGTGCTCCTCCTGCTTTATTTTAAGTGGCCAAAGGGGAAATTCCTGTTTCTGTTGTCTGAAGATGTTTGTAGTAATTTGTTTTATTTTTAGAAATGCTAATGCCCCTACAAATTTTTGTTCCAACAAGGAGTCATTTTGATTCTTATTTTTATAAATAATGTGAGGGTTTTTTTTTTAAAAAAAGTCTTTTTGAATAATGTACTTCAGAAAAACCCCACTTTTTTTGTCACATTAAAGGAAAACCAAGGTTCTGAATTTAAAATTAGGGAGATATATGCTTATAAAGTTATAGAACATGAAGCATACTCATTAAATTTAAAATTAGGTGTTCTTATTAATTTGCAGAAGCAGGTGGAAAAGCACTTCCAGTATACTAATTTGTTTTAATGACACCTTTGGTCAGTATTTCTAGCTTTTATTTACTTTTAAATCTTCATCCGAGGATATCTTTTTATTGATTTGAGAGCGAGAAAGAGAGAGAGAAATATCAATGTGAGAGAGAAACATCCATCAGTTGCCTCCTGCATTCGCCCAGACCTGGGATTAAACCCAAAACCTAGGTTTGTACCCTGACTGGGAATCAAATCCACAACCTTTTGGCATATGGGATGATGCTCTAACCAACTGAACCACTTGGCAAGAGTTCTGAGATTATATTTAAAAGGACAAAAATTATAGTCCTTCCAACTTTACTTAAAATTTTTTCCTACATTTTAAGCCCCAAGAATCCAACAGTAGTGAAAATACAGAAATTACAGCAAGTGTCAATAAAGGATGAGGGCACATAACTGTTAATCGTATAATTAAAGGTGAAAATGTACCACCCTAAAAATCTTCCATCGTATTTTCCCCACACAATACAGACTTAATAATGGCTTTTATAGCTAATGTATTCATTTCCTCTTAACCATTTCTTGATTTGCATCATTCTTTATTGAAATTAAATTCATATTTTCCAGTATACAGTTGGACTTAAACATTTGATGAAATTTCTATGCTTTTTTTTTAAAGAATGCTTTCCTAGGGTCAGATGTTGCATGAACCTAGCCTGATTATATTTATGTTCCTAAACCCCACATTAAACTCAAATATGTACTTATTTTTTAAATATATTTTTGTTGATTTCAGAGAGAGGAAGGGAGAGGGAAAGACAGACACAACAATGATGAGAGAGAATCTTTGATCTGCTGCTTCCTGTACACCCCCTACCAGGGATTGAGCCCCCAACCCAGGCATGTGCCCTGCCCAGGAATTGAACCGTGACCTCCTGGTTCATAGTTCAATACCCAACCACAGCCACACTGGCCGGGCTAGACTCAAATATTTTTGTGGCAATACTTATGCATACTATACATTTACAAATTCTGTATTTACATATGCCTTATTTGTAGTTCATTTTTAAAATAATGTGGGATATATGTTTTTGAAAGAGATTTGTTAGATTGGACAGCCTTTTGAAAATATAAATGTGGTCCAGAAAGCCTTCTTTGGGCGTAGGTAGGTAGTAGTATTTTTAACATTGTTAATGTTTTATCCATCCGTATCCACAGTGCTGTAGAACTAGATGACAACTTATTTAATGCTCATTGAACTATAACGCATTTCAGAATATGTGTAGAGTTAATGTGTTCACAACTAACGTGATGGGAGAGTGAATGTGAGTTAAAGGAAAATCGTAACATTGGTGTCAAGATTTCTCAAAGTCGATGTAGATAGAAAACTGAAAGTTTTCACACATGATGTTGATAATCTATTAAAAATACTCTTAGGAGTGTTAGCAGAACTCACAGGTAGGGAACAATAGGATTACAAGCCCCTCAAAGCTTTTCTTCAAGATTAAGATTATATACAAGCATACCTCGCTTTATTGCACTTCAATAGTGTTGCAATTTTTTGCCGATTGAAATCAAGACCTCCACCAGAAAAAGATTACCACTCATTTTATAGTGATACTCACTTCATTTTGGTGGTCTAGAACCAAACCCACAATATCTCCAAGATATGCCTGTATGTGGAATTTGTATCTAATGATAATACTTTTCCACTTTCAAATTTCTTATCTATGGGTGTGTTTGATTTATTTTGCATGAGTGTATATGTGTGTGTAGTAAATACAATGGATTGGAGAAGGAGATGTGTGATAATTGTAGAATTCACATATCATTGAGTATTTACTTCTGCTAAGCATTTTTCATAGCTTATCTAACTTAATTGAAAAAAAATACTAATTTGATAACTCAATCTATCATGGTTACCATGCATTATTTTTCTTCTAGACTTTTGGTTCTCAATGTTTGCTTAGCCATGCTGTTGTTAGACAAGTTCGAGAACTTAAAAAATATTTTCTAGTAGAAGATACAGTAACTGCCCTGGCTAGGTAGGTCAGTTGATTGGAACATAATCCTGATAGGCCAAGGTTGTTGGTTTGATCCCTGGTCAGGGCACATACAAGAGACAACCAATTAATGCATAAATAAGTGGAAAAACAAATCCGTCTTTCTCTCACCCTCCTTCTCTCTCTATTTAAATCAATCAATAGATGGTGTGCCTGAGGTTTATTTGTTGGGTTTTACTGAGTAGGAACGAATGAGGGTTTTTTTTGTTTTTGTTTGTTTGTTTTTTTAAGTATAATAAGAGATCAAAATTCAGGAACTGCTAAGAAGACATAGTAAGATGGAGAGAAACAGGCAAAAACTAAGTGTTTTTACACCTTGAATTTTACAAACAATGTGATTTGTCTGTTGGTCACTTGTGTGGTGTTTTTTCTCAATTTTGTATTTTTAAATGTACATACCAATAGTGGATAACATTTATTTATACTTATAATATGCCAGTCCTGTTTAAGTAGCTCTCACTGATGCTATAATAGACCCTTGCCATGCCCATTTTATGTATGAGAACACTGAGGTCATAGAGATGTTAAGTAACTTGAAAGCAATGGCTTCACATTCAGGCCGTGTAACTGCAGAGAATATATTATTACCTAGCACTGCATAATAACTGTTCTAGAATGTTGGAGGTATTAGCAAATGTTAATGTTTAATGGTTTAAAATTTTTTTTTTGCAGATTATCTGATACAATGGCAACTGCACGGGGGAGAACAAAGAAAAAAGCATCTTTTGATCATTCTCCAGATAGCCTTCCTTTGAGGAGTTCCGGTAGGCAGGTATTACTCATTTGTTCATTCTGTGCACCTGTTTTGAGCACACAGAATTATTCTGATTGGCACTGAAGAATTATAAATGAAAAGATTATAAACTTGTAGTCTAGTTGAAAAATTCACCCTGATAGAGAGATAGAATGTAGAAAAAAAGCATACTGGCAGGGGGAACTGCAAAGATAGAGACGTAGGGTATGAATCGACATGGGGTGTTCAGAGAATTGCAGCTGTGTAGTTGCCTCCAGGATGTGAGCTGGGGT